GTTGAACATCCAGCTCACAAATTAAGGCTTAAAAGTATGAAGGAGAGTGACACAGGCCTGATGTAGCAAAGGACACCCTGACAAACAAGCTCTCTGGCTCCAGGGATGTGGAAGGACTGGGGCCAAGGCAAGTCCAGGGAAGGCTGGTGGGGTAGAGGATCCTCTGGAGCAGATAAGTTAACCAGACTTTCTTGTCCCCAGCCACTCTGTGTGGTCAGCTTGCAGCCCAAGGACACTAGGCCAGCAGCATTCTGGCCTATTACCTGGCTCCTTGCATGCTCTCCTTGCCAAGGTCAAACCTGGCCTGCCCCCAGCATGACCATTCTTAACTGCCTTTCCCCTTCCAGGCCTCTTTCCTCCCATAAGAGTAGAGATGCTTCTTTGGTTCCAGCTGAAACAACAAAAGGTCACTGGAGATTCTGCCTATTCCAAAATTCCTGAAGAGGCTGCCAGCAATGAGTCAGAGCATCAGCAGCCCAGCTCACCAAGGACCAGCCTGGCCTGGCCAGATGCTTCTTGAGTCTGAGTTGGGGTGGGAGCAGAGGAGACAACCAAAAGCCCTGGGGAGCTCTTACCCCCAAGTGCAGTGGCCCAGCCTTGTGGCCAGCCCTATGGGGGCAGTGCTTCTGAGGTGCATGGTGCAGTGGGTCTTGCTGGGAGACAGTTCAGTTAATGTGTCCCAGTTCCTATGCAGCACCAAGCCACAGTCCTGCCTTCATGGAGCTCAGCCTTGGAGGCTCCTGAGGACTTCAGTTCTTTCTTTGTTTCACAGAGGATATGAGTCCAGGCTGGTGTTCAGAGAAGGAAGCATGGTCTCATTTTCATGGGGGCTACTTGGTTCTAATCCCTGCAGTCTGTGGGTTCCAGGCAGATTCTGAGAATCTGTCTCCAGGACCTATGGGGATGAACTAGGCCTGTCCTAGCTCACACATCCAGTGTTCACACATTCAGAGGATCACAGCAGCAGGCTACTGGGGGGGGGAGCAGCAGTGCCTACAGCATGTGAGTCTGGAATGTAACCCTCAGCAAGAGGATCTGTCCCATCATCTCTCATATTGGGGAGCAATTGGTAGCCTGATGTCATGGAGAGAGTGGAGAATTCTGTCAGAAATATCTGGGTTATAGTCCCAGCTTTGTGCTTGTCTTGCTAAGTGACCTGAAACAAGTGTTCACCCCTTGTACTTTAGTGTCCTCATCAGTGATGTGGGAAGGCAACATCTGTCCCACCATGAGGAGAAGCAGGGTATGGCCAAGAATTTGTGATATAGTATGGACAAGAAGCACTCTGAAACCTGAAATTTCATGTCCATGCAAAATGTATTATGTGGCACAGTTTGTATCCTCTGGGAAGATTTTGAGACATGAGTGTCAGGATGTTTTTAAGAAGGTGGGGAAGGAAGGAACATGAGACAGAAAGAGAAGCTCAGTTATGATGTAGGCCCTAGCATCTTGGCCCCCATTGGGAGCTCTGTCCTGCACTGGACTGAAATGGTTGGGCCTTAGTATTCACTTATCACTGAGTAAGGGTAGCTTCTGGCCAGGTAGGACCACGGGCAAGGTGGATCTCTAAAGCTGAGCCTCTACATGATGTGCTGGTAACCTCGCAGTGAGCTGGGGTAACAGTTCTTTCCTTGAAGGAGTATCTGGGTGTTGTATCTCCATGACTATGTCTTTATTGTTAATTATGTGGTTATACCTAAATATCAGACTGTGTTCATCAAAGGCAGGAGTAATAATAGAGTTCCTGCCATTCTGGTTCTATTGAGTTCTAGATGAATGACTTCAGTCTTTATTTCTGATAAAAGAATGGAAAAACTCTCTTTCTTTTTCTGTGAGGCCCAGAAAACTATTCAATTTGGCTTTGCCTGGGAGTTCATAGGTAGGACATAAAAACCAACAAATTTAAACAAATGAATTGATTTCATTTAAAAAAAAATCTCCCTATGTGTGCATGTTGGTGTGCACAGGTGAATATATACATACATCTGAGCATGAGAGCACATGGGGGTGCATTTATACATGAGTATATGTATGATAACTGGGATAAGAGGAAGCTGTGGGGCTGGTGTCCAGTGTAGACATGCCCACATGAATGAGTAGATGAAATTATGAGAATGTGCATTTGTATGTGGAAACATCATTCACTCACTCTTTTAACATTTAGTAACATCTATAATGTGCCAGGCTTTGTGCTGGGAGCTGGAAAACAAGAAGAGATAGGATCTGGTTGCTACCACAGGAAGTTTATCATCTTGTAGGGGAAACAATACAATATAGGCATCCCAGGTACAGTGAGGGAAGAGATTGTACAGAGGGATCACCTGAGTGGGCCCCCAAATCAGACTGAAACATCCATTGCCAAAAAAAAAATGGTCTTTCACAACCATAATAACCTCTTGGATTTTCCAAATATAAGAAGTATTCCAATCAAGGAATCAGGACTATTCCTTCCCTGGACTTGGATGGAATATGTGCTGCTGGAAGGATAAGCCTGAGAGACCCTGGCTCCAGGGACCTAGAGCACTTCTAAAGCCAATGTGAAGCACCTTCTGTTTCAGAGGAACAGAAGCAAGAGACCTGGAGCTGTGTCTTGAAGGGTAAAGGTATTACTCAGGCAAAGATGATGGGAAAGGGTGAGCCGGACTTTCACATGGCAGAGAGAAATGACTGGTAAGGAGATTATAGGAGTGAAAATGGAGAGTCAGAGGACAGAGGAGAGACCTCAAAGCCATAGACTTGAGTGAAGGAGTGTGAACTTTCACACAAACAAGGGGTAACAGAGTAGTGTTTCCATCTTAGGGTTACATTCTGGCAGTAATGTGGGGGCAGATGGAAGCTGATGGATGGCAGGGCCGGCTGGGTATGTTCCTGTACATGTTTATGAGGATGTATACACACAGGGCTGTGTGTCTGTCCATCTGGAGTCTGTGCACCAGGTGTGCCGCCCACATGGACTTGTTTTCTACTCCTCCCCTCTGGCTTTGGCAGCACAAAGGCACGGGATGGCTATCCTGCTGCTGACTCATGGGTGAGTGCCATGATGGGGCTAGCTGGCAGGTGCTTCCTCCAGGGCCACAGGCACACCCCTTCCCCTGGACTGACAGTGAAGGTCCTGGCAGGCAGTAAGAGGATGGCCAGACTGGACTCTCCTGTCTGTGTGATGGCTTATCTAGGAGAGGCTGGGCTTGCTTTGTCCCAGGCTCATCCATAAGGTGAGGGGCAGACAGAATGGAGAGGCTGTGAGGACAGGGGCTTAGCTAAGGCCCAGCTTTGCCTTTCTGGGTCTCCCTGTCTCTGTACGCTCACTTTTCAGGCACTGAAGTCAAGTATTTGAACTTAATTATCTAACAATGTACTATAACTATGCTATCCTACTTCTTGAAAATTCACGACAAATCTAAAAAAAAAAAAAAAAACAACCAAAAATCAAAAAACTAATTTATCACATTTCTTACACCTCACATGTGGACCACAAGGTTTTTGGTTTTGTAAGATGAGTATAACCTCTAGAATGGCATAGTAAGTAGTTAGGAACTTGGAATTTAGATTCCAAAAGAATGGGTTCAAACTTCAATTGTACACTCAATGGCTAAGTTACCATCCTCTCTGTGCCTCAGTTTCTTCATTCACAAGACACAGATGCTAAAACCTCATAGGATTAAATGTATAAAGTTCCTAAAACAGTGCTTGATGTATCATGAATCTTCAACTATAAACCTTAACTAGTTTTACTAGCTCATCTCGGCTGTTCCCTCAGGTCTAGGGAGTTAGGGAATTCGATTGATGAAAAGTTGAGACCTCTTTGGGACTCTAGAGGAAATGTGTTTAATGAGATGTTGACCCAGGGATCAAGACTTGTTCCCACCAACTCATTCTTTTTATTTGATGTGGGTCTTTGGTTTTAACAGGTTTTGGTTGTCAGACTTCATTTGTTAAATAACAACCTATGTGGACCCATCAAGTGTTCTCTTGGACCTTACAAAATGCTAGGAATGGTTCCCAGTGCTCCTCACTGGGAACTTCTGGATTGGATGAGATAATCCTTGGGAGGCCACCCTTCCTGTTCCAGCTTCAGATACTGGCACCTCCACAGCAAAAGCAAGTGCCTTCAAGTATTTCTGGGCCTTATAATAGGTGGCCAAGTGGACCCTAAAACAGAAGGTGCTTCACATTGGCTTTAGAAGTGCTCTAGGTCCCTGGTGCCAGGGTCTCTCAGGCTTATCCTTTCAGCAGCACATATTCCAGCCAAGTTCAGGGGAGGAATAGTCCCGACTCCTTGATTGGAATACTCCTTGTATTTGGAAAATCCAAGAGGTTATTATGGTTGTGAAAGACCATTTTTTTTTGGGGGGGGCAATGGATGCTTTGGTCTGATGGAGTCCTAGGTACTAGTGCGTTCTATATATCAGCTCTTTAAATTTTCACAAAACTCTCCTGAGGTGACTGTTGTCATCTCTATAGATTAGAGAATAAAATTAGTCAGAGAAGGGATTTATTCAGGGGCTGGGGATATGGCTCAAGCGGTAGCACGCTCGCCTGGAATGCGTGTGGCCGGGGTTCGAGCCTCAGCACCACATACAAACAAAGATGTTGAGTCCGCCGAGAACTAAAAAATAAATATTAAAAAATTCTCTCTGTCTCTGTCTCTCTCTCTCTTTAAAAAATAAAAAGAAGGGATTTATTCAAGTACTAGTAAATGGCAGCATTGTTTTTAATTTCTTACATTCATTAAATCACATCATTCTTACCTCTGAAGTAGTAATGATTTGCATTTTGTAGATAAGCAAACTGAAGCTTAGCAACATTAAGAGACTTGTTCAAGGTCATAGAGCTAAGAGTTAGCCAAGTGGGAGTTGAATCTAAGTCTAATGTTCTGTCTTCGACAGCTGCTTGGAATGAACCAGTTATGAGGTGACACCTCTGCCCTGCTTTGGCATCCAGGTGAACCTTGTGGAAAGGCAGGTTTTAGTCCCCAGTGGTTTTGTAGGGTGGAAGCCTACCTTGGATGTCATCGTTGAACATGCAGTACTTGTTGCGGTATTTGTTGAGCAGGCGGAAGGCATTGGCATTGGCAAAGTCTTCAAATTGAATGAGGCAATTTATTCCAAACCTGTGGAGAGAGAGGAAGGAGCACATGACTGACTCCCTAAGACAAATCCCTGCATGTCACAGCCTGCATGGGAGAGTGGGTAGGCTCAAACAGGAGGTGGAGAGAAACATGGCTCCTTCATCTGGGTTTTTTGCCATCTGGCTGGATCTGGAACTCCTGGGCTTGGAGTTCTGCCTGTCCCATCATATGGATAGGGAAAGGAGAGAGTAGGGGCACCTGGCTTAGTTGTCAGCCAGGTGCCCCTACTCACTGTATCTAAGGTGGACTGGTGGCTCCCTTGGGCTTCCATGGCAGACAGTGGGCATGCCAGGAGGGCTGAGATGGAGCTGCCTTGTCTGTAGCCTTTTGCCATCTGGTATCTCAGCAGAAAAGCTCACCCACTCCAAGCTCAAATGCATAAAGAGAGCCAGGCTTCCCCACCAGAGATGGTTGGGGAGCTTCTGCAGCCTCTAAATATCTCCCTCTCCAGACCTGGAGGCCAGGAGCTCCATCATTGGAGACTCCTCAAAGTTCAGTCATTGGTCCCTGACATGATGCAAGGAAGGCTGGGAAAGGCCAGCATGTGAAACCTTTGTCATCTATTTACATCTTGGTGATGTTGTTCTCCAATTTGCAGAAGTAGAAGAGAATCAGGTAGGGAGTGCGTTTAAAATGAAGATCTCTAGGCCCATCTCACAGCCTCACAAAAGGTGGATGAGGCTCAGGAATCTGCATTTTAACCAGCAGTCCAGATTGTTCTAATTCTGCTGTCTAGAGAACTTTGAGAAACACTGCCTTGGTGGATGAAAACAATGCCCAATAAGCTGCTTCATGGGCCTTATTGGAAATCTGTGAGGCACTGCTGCCTAGATTTTCCCATCTTCCTTAAAAAGGGGAAGGGGGGCTTGGTTAATTAGAGTTTCATAACCTATTTTTCCTTTTAATATTTGTTGTCTGTCAGGAAGATGAGAGCAAAATTCCCGTCTATTTACAGTAGGCATCTTTAGTCTGAGATTTCTACCCACAGATTTCCCTCTTACTTCATGCTTGCTCTTTGATTCTGATATTTGGTAATTTTATTGGCGTCTTAGTCTTTATGGAATCAGGCATGCATGAATTCTTAAAAATTCTTAACACATGGACAAAAAATAATTTTCATCTCATGGGTCAATTTGTGATCGAGTAATGGTACCTGAGATCATGTTCATTGACAAAAAAGTCCTGATTGATCCACATGAAATTCAGGAATGTCAGGACATGTGGTAGGGAGAAGTGGCTTGCTATTTCCAACCTAGTGTGAACCACAGGCTTGAGGCCCTCTTGAGATGAAGAGGTGTGGGTGGGCCACCTATCTGGCGGGCTTTCTATGCTCTTGAGGCATCTTTCTGGTGAGGTTAGTGCCTGTGGGGGAGTGGATTGTACTGAAAGACCCAGAAAGCAGTTTTTCCAGCCTCATAATTTTCGGCACAGCCTACCCTGTCCAGCACAAATGTCAGTGAGTGGGTAAATATTTGCTTCTGCTATGTTTTTTTTCAGATCCTTAGCTGGTCAGAGCTGCTGATGGGGGCACTGGAAATGGGGTCATGTTACAGGGGCGGAAACAAAGGGGGTGGTGACTTGCTGTAATCTAGTGCTAAAGATTTCCAGGCTTGGATCAGGAGGCTTGAAGGCCTGACAACTGAGTGGCCTTGTACCTGTCACATCACCCTCATTCTGCTTCAGTTTTTCATTTGTCAGTGGGCACAATATCTGCCTGACCATTTTCTGTGGTCTGATTGAGGATTAAAAGCTGAGGATATGTTTTTTTCAGCTTATTGATGTATAACTGATAAATAAAAGTGATATATGACATGATGATTTGATGTATGTATACATTGTGCAATTATCATCACAATCAAGTTAGTTAACACCTCACATGGTTATCTTTTTAAATTTTTTTTTTTTGTGGTGAGAAAGCTTAAGGTCCCCTTTCTTAGCACATTTCAAGTATACAGTATAACACTATTAGCTATATATAGTCTGAGGCTGATTTTAGACTGAAATCATTCTAGCCATAATTATTATCTACAATGAAGAATAAGTGCTCATGAGGTTTGTGGTAGGATGGTAGGGTAGGGTAAGGTGTGACAGTGGTGGGGGGCTTACTGTCTCCTGACCTACTGTTCAGCTATTTTCTCTTTGTACAGGAGATTTTGAGAGAGAAAAGGTTCACAGATGGTATTCAGTAACAGTAGCAGAAAGGATACTCAGCCCAGCTCCTAGGCCTGAGATATTGTTGGATCGATAGAGCACACAGCCTTGAGAAGTTATAGGGAAAGTAGTGGCCTCAGGGGAAAGCTGAATTTCAACAAAACCAGGAAGACAGGGAGTTGTCTGAGGAATGAGAATATTTGGTATATATATTTTAATCACAAATCCAGTTCCAGAAGACTCTAGAAAAGAGTTTGGGAGGGAAATGAGGTGTAAGATATTGGGTTGGACCATGGAAAGCATAAAGCACTTGCTTTGAACTTCTGTGAGCTCCTGAGTTGACTTTATGACTCCTTCCTGGGCACTTCAATAGGACAGTTATAGATAGGGTTATAAGATGTATCTCTTTGGGGTCATCTTGGAATCATTAGGTACAATCATTAACATTTCCATCTCTCTGTCTCTGTGCATAACTAAATATAGATTGTTTTAAAACAGAAAGTCATCTCATAATTTCTCTCAATAATGCACTCCATGATTTGACAATCCTTTAACAATCAGTACCAAGAACAGTGCCTGATACATAAGTACTCAACAATATAATACCTTCATATCTGCAGGTTCTGCATCTGTGGATTCAATCAATCCTAGATTGGAAATATTTTTTTAAAAAATGCATCTGTACTGAACATTACAGACTTTTTCATTGTTATTATTCCCTACATATACAGTATACCAATTATTTACATAGAATTTATGTTGTATAAGGTATTATAAATAGTCTAGAGATGTTGTGAAACATTCAGGAGGATGTGGGTAGGTTACTATGCCATTTTATATAAGGGACTTGAGCATCCATTGACCTTGATATCCACAGGGGGTTCTGGAACCAAATTCCCTTGGACACTGAGGGAAAATTGTACTATGACTAGAAATGATAAATAAAACCTCCCAAGCACAAATTTAATGCCATGCTTGCCAAGTAAAATTTACTGTGAATTTTTGTTCAGCGTGTGAATTTCAAGTATTTGAAGTGGAAGTGGGGAACAGAGTGTCTTTGGTTGTTGGTGACAATTTACTCTATATAAGTTGCTTCACAACAAGCCTGGGGCTAAAACACTGAAAAGGTCAGACAGCAAAGCAAGTGGGGCACATTCTCTTGCACACACCACACACATGACCTTTAAGCAACACCACCACTCGTTTGCCAAGGTAAAAATAAGGCAAGCATTATAAATACCATTGTGCAGTGTATTGTTACTGTTTCATATTTAATTCAATTTTACATAAAGAAATTCTCCTCCTTCCGATGGAACAATTTAATAGAATATAGAGTAAAACCTCATTAACTCAGGTCACTTTAGTCCCAGCTTGGAATTGCACAAAAATTTCAAATCATCCAATGATGCAGACTGAGTTCCTAGGACTCCAGAACCTCTAGGACTGTGTCCTTGTACACACATCTCCAGGGCTGCTCCCTGGGCCTTCCACTACCAGGAACCACCCCTGCTCTAGGATTTCACACTGTCCCCCTTTAGCCTCTGACTGCAGCCTCTACTTCTCTTCACTTTTGCTACTTCTGCTCTGCATCAAGACCTTTGGGTCCTTAATCACATCATCCAGTCCCTTGGCCTCTTTCTTATAGCATTTCATGAAACCAGGCCAGTCTGGATGAAGAGTAGTTACTTCAGTCACTGTCTCAGCACCGTCCATCCACCATCTGTCTATCCACCCCTTGTTCTGCTATCCATCCACATTTATTGAGCACTGGTGATGAGCCAATGCTATAATTCAACAATTTTTCAGGAAAGTGTAGATAATGAAGGAGCTGGTGAAAATGCAGCATCATGAATTTGTAAACTAATTAAAAGTTAAGATAAAAAAGCTTAAAGTGAAAATCTAAATGACTCAGATAAAAAAAACTTGTCTCCATTCATCTATATACATCTGAATAGGTTCTCTTCATAAGTTTAAATGTTAGTTATCAATTAATTTATATACTCACCAAAATACTAAGAACAATGGTAAAAAATGATCATCTTTATTGAATATTTATTACCTGCTGGGCATTACACTAAGTTCTTTACATATCACTCTTTCAATCGCTACACTAAGTTCTTTACATATCACTGTTTCAATCGCTGCATGACCTTATGAAGTAGTTGCCATTTCCAGAGAAGGAATGTTATTTGCCTAGGGGCTGTTTACACTATTGTACTTGGTAGGTGGTGAAGCTGGAATTTGGATTTGGCTCTAATCTGACTACAGAATCTGCTTTTGTTTAATTTTAAAAAGCAATACAGATTTGTAGAAGATAAAATTAAACAGGTAATAAAGCTGGATTTCTTTTTCCACATGGAAAAACATACATCAAACAGGGAGACAGAAAATGGTCTTCTATCAACCTCCTGATCTACCTGCTGGAGGAGGAGCATAAGCTACTTAGTGTCTGGGGTTGGAGTGGGCATGCTAGGAACTTCACTCAGATTTTTCTGGGAGACTAAGTGGGAGGTCTGACCCTTCTTAGCATGAGCAACAGGGGGCAGGAAAATCTGGATAGTGGGTGTCTTAGAGTCCTCTTTGTGCTTACACAAACCAGATCAGCAGGTGGCCACCTTCCAGGGCTGTGGGAGCAGTCACAGGACCCCCTCCCAAGAGGCCTGCTCAGGAACCCCTACCCAAGGCTCTGGGCAATTTCCTGATTTTAGAGCTGGCTATGTACTGCTGTACTCTTGTACTTTCAGAAGCTGCCCTTTACCAGGGAGGTTCCAGGGTATCTGTCCCCCTTTCCACCTTTGAACTCTTCACCTTGTATCCCTGGCAGCAGTGGA